CACAAAATCCCAAAGAATCCGCTAAACATGCTGTTGAAATGATAAACAGTTATATATTACACATTCAGATGAAATCGAAACAATCCGAACACTGGATTGTGCTTTGGTTTGTTCTGAGATAAGTTACCAGCACCATACTCACAAAACTTCACTTCAGAGAGTCAAATCCCTGAAATCTTTAGAATATGATTCACAGTAAACCAGCAAGCAGGTTGACAGTAAGCAAGTAATTTAGAAAGTGCATACTTCGTGTCGGCATTTCTCTGGGATGAGTAGTTTCTCAGGAATCTGAGATTTAGTTTCTTGTACATTGTTTATAATTTCAAATCAAACTACAAAAACGGTCGTCTGGATTGAAATCCACTATCATCTAGCTACACAGTCATGAGTGGCATAAATGAAACGTAACTTATTTGGTCATAATTGACTTATTGGTGACCAACAGTTTTATTTGGGACCCATCAGCTGGATGTACCCTCAACTCAGTCAGTAGTGTTATCCCAATCGCTGGTTCGAAACCCACCTTGTCCCAAATTTTCACCTCACCTTCAGTCATCACCCAATATCAATACTAGTCTGACAAACCACGGCTATCTGTGGTAGTCAAAATGATAATCAATATGATCCCCCTCCCCCTCTAATTCAAATAGATTTGGATTGGGATGAGAATTCCTCACTGGACAACCATTATGAGTAGGATCAAGCGATAGTAACAGGTCACGAATTCACATAGTAGTCGGGCGAAACCCTTGGTGATTGAAGTGAAATAAAAATCTGGCCAGCAGTCGGGTCTCGTAGCTCAATTGGTAGAGTATCAAGCCGGAAACTCAGTGGTCGCTGGTTAGAATCTTGTCGCAGCCCAAATCTTCATTTCACTTCCAATAAACACCCAGTATAAATAATGATAGATTATTTGATTTGAAACCAATGTGTTGTGTCATTGGAATGTTTTTTATTTGTTTTTCGGAGCAGCTGAACTTGATCTTACTCGGAATAGTCAAATCTATCTTAAACTCGTTATTTTCAAATAAATTAAATCTCCATTTCAGTTGTTGTTTCTTCTTTTGGGATAATTTTAAATAAAAACAAAATGAAAATCTTTCCCCAGAAGCAAAATCGTAGAAACCTTTATATATATATATATATATATATATATATATATATATATATATATATATATGTATATATATATATATAGGGAGGAAAGGAGACTACTGCCAATGAACGGTGAAACAATGAAAATTTCCCTGGAGGCACTTTTGATTATCTTTCACTTCTCATGTTCCTCTCTCCCTCTAATTCTCATGTCTATTTTTCGTGAGTGCTGGTTGGAGAAGGAGGTGACTAACGCATGCTTTAGCTGTATCTCTGAGATCATGTGTTAAGTGTGGGATGGAGAATGAAAAAACTTTTCTCATCTTAGTTGCATTTATGGTAGATTTCAGTATTTTAAACCTTGTCTTCATTCTTGTCTCAGATACTTCACTATAATTTCTTACCCAGATTCATATCATTGGTTAAATCTCCCTTTTGGTTTTATATACCATAAAGCGTGGATGCCTTTAAGGTTCGACACTTGTTCGCTTAGTTGTTTGCCTGTATACATAGATGCATGTCAGCATCGTGCATGCAGATAGATGTAATTCATTTTTCTCTTTCAACTCTCATCTTCACAATCTCTTTCTAATCTCCTCTTTTCTCAAGTGGTTTCGTCAAATGTAACCCACATTTTCGTTTTTTTTGCCTTGATTTTAGTCAGAACTACAGGAATCTACTTATATTTACTGATGATTCTGTTAGGTTAGGCATATTCACAGTCTTAAGGAACGTTAGCACATATTGGGATACAAACACTTAGACTCTCTTCCAGTTTCTCTATCTGATTGCTGTGTTTATCTATGGCATCAGATATGAAGCTCTTTTTCATTTTTTTTCATCGTTATACCTTCTTTACGCTATTTTTTTTGTATCTTCAGTAAAAGGCTCAAAATTATCTACAAAACTCATGAGAGGAAATAAATCTAGAGTCCATACAATTTTCAACAATTCATTTTCACTTAGATCTCACTGACGTTTCTCGTAAGAATCGGCTTATATGCGGATGTTTCGATATAGCCTGTCGTTTCACTTTCATAATAACGATGGATAGTGGCTAGTACCGGAGTCCAGAATGCACATTTCGATGAATCTGGGACTCGTCAGCTAGACGTACCCGCCTCCCAGTGAGCGACATTGTTCCCACCAAGACTCAAAACCAGAACCATTAGCTTCAAACGGCACAGCGTTATCCACTAGGCCACTGATACATCCAGCTGACAAGTCACAAATAAGACGAAACGCGCGTCCTGGATTCCACTGTTAGCAATTATTCATCATTGCTACAGATTGTTTATTGTTTACGGAAATACAACTCAGGTAGGTTGTTTTATTGGCTTTATTGTATGTAATGAATATTTACTGAGGGAAAAAAGCAACAACTGAAAAGCACTAGATCATTTTTTTAATCCAGCACAGCATACTGTGTTGGTTCAACCGGCAATATTTTAAACCATAAGAAGCGTCTAAAGGATTCGAAGTTCATAGTGAGAGTGATATAATCAGATGTGACTCAGTTGGGTGATTGAAGTGTGTTTTTCCCCCGGAGACTCAAATGCCCACACCACAAGACACAAGTAGCTGACCAGATTTGGAGTACTGGAGCTAAGTCATATCCTTAAAATAAAAATTAGACTGCCTACACTGCTGATAAGCTTGACTTAAGATGAGGAAAATGACAGTTCAGCGTTTCCAGTTAAATGTAATGAGGCCAGAGAGTACCACTAATTGTTCTAACCGGTTTGCAACTAAAAACGATCATAATCACCATTTTTCATGTTGATTAGATCACATATTTTAGTCTTAACATATTACTTTGAGATTTTAAAGCTAGGGCGTTATACCGCCTACATGTTGAGAGTCTGTAAAGAAACAACTTTGATTTTACTTTCAAATCTGATGTGACGGTTTTTGCAGTTCTGTTACAGTCTCTAAGATGTGAAACCTTATTTCTTCTAACCTGAACGCTGGTGGCAAACATGAACGTGGTGAAAAAGAGCCTATCACCATGCTTTGCAGCACCATGCTATCATACCATGAATATGAGTTTTATGATAAGAAATATTTTCTTTTGCACCAAAGTTGAAAAGAATAAAAGCCTGTTCCGAGTAACTAACATCTTTGAAAATCGAGGACTGGATGAAATGAAAGGATGACGTAGAGAAGTGAAAAGTCTACTGATCGTTATGTTTTACTAATGAGACGTAGTCTGACTTTTTCCTAGAATATACATCACTGAAAAGAATGACTTGAGTGTTAACTCACCACGGTCATGAAACATACTGATAGTAAAAGGGATTATTTTTGATTCTACTAGTTTTAATTCACTGACTGATAAACTGTCATTATTTTACTCCTGACAGCAGGTGACATTCAAAATGAATTTCTGAATCCAAGTCATCAAACGACTGAAGCTCGTATAGGGAATTTAACACCGCTCGAAAGCCAATGCTTTCTCTAAGATCTAAATGTATATTACAACCTAAGATATCATCACTGAAACGTCCCATCTAATGATTAATTTTTCCATACTGGGTTATGAGTGAAGATGCAATGAAGACCTAGGCCGTGACAGGACTCGAATCAGTGACCTCTGGGTTTCGAAACCGGTGCCATGCCAACTGAGTTACAAGACCCAGCTACTGATCAGATTTTTATTTCATCTCAGTTGCCAAGGGTGACCACCACTTTGAATCTTTCCGAAGCCCAGATTATCATTTCACCTTCAATCATCAACTAGTAAGGTTACTCATCTCGACTGGAATTTCGCTTTTCATTTAGTGCCTTTTGATGTTATGCCTATTATTTGTAAATAGCATTCATTTTTATTTCTGGACAAGCGAAGGTAATATTTCCCTTTGATGTATATTAGCCACGTCTTTCAAGAGATACCATAATAAGTTTAATCATCTCTGAAACAGCAGTTTTCATATTGTGCATTTAAAAAAGTGAGCACTTTTCAAAGATTGTATTTGAATAGTGTTTACATCTGCTAAATGGGATATATTAGGGTCATATGTGAGTTTTAAATAAAGGAGCTCTGAGAATCATAGTGTGCATCTTGTAGTCTATTAATGCAGTTACTGACTTAATAACTGGTTCATTGAATCTAGAAGATATGATGTAAATCATACTGAGATTTGTTTAAAATCTTTAAAATGGCGTTAATTTAAGGATGGATTTTGTCGTTAGTTATAGGAACATCGAAAATGAGATATTGCTCAAGATCTGTATTCTCAGCTATCAGTATTTATTCTGGAGACTGTCAATCAGTAAGTCCTGTACTAAAGTGGGGAATATTCATGTTCCCAGAAAGATATATAAGTGTTCTAGATCTCATTCTACAATCGATCCTAGGTGCCCGTCATGAAGTCGCAAGGAGTCTGGAAGTAACTATATGACATCCTTCACCTACGGGCAGGTGTTTATCTGATGTCGATTTTTATTAGACTTGCTTAACACGGAACATTGTCCATGTGTATGGATGCTCAGTAAGTCTCACAAACATTTAATGAATATAACGCGTCATATCAAAGTGAGATTTCTGTCTCCGATGTGTTATCTTCAACCGACACATTATTCTGCTTCTCCTAATTTGGAAGAAGTGCATCACACGAAACCTGCTCACGTATATCAGGGGAGAAAATGAATGCGAAGATTAGTTTTTCAGCAGTCGGAATTCTTCCTTACAAATACTGTTTTTTTTCAAGTTCTTTTTCGTTGTTTGTTTCGTTTTTACTTCACAGTCATTAGCTTAAGTTGATTTTCATTTCTTACTGGAAAAAGAAACGATACATATTTGTGAATTTTTTAAATTTTTTTTCTTTTTTCATCACCTCTCCAACCACTTCATCATGTCTTCTTCTCCTCGTGGTTATTACATTCAATTATTATTTTCTGAACAGATGGCTTCTTCAAATCGACCAATGTTTACCTCCGAACAGGAATTAAATTTACTAGTAAGTTTCTGAATTCTAGATTATTTGTTTGGCTGTTTGTTTGTTTTGCTATTGTTCATATTGTTTCTTTCTGCTTCTGTTAATTTTTAGAGATTTTTCTCGATTTTTTTTTACTAAGTTTCATAATTCTATTTGTGTTTACATGTTTATTTGCTTTTATGAAAATGTCCTTTAGCGATTATCATAATAACCGCTCATGTTGCCCCACTAATAATAAGATTGGATAGGCTTGTTTCAACTGTGTTTCTGAACTTTCCGACAGTAGTGGAATGATTGTATGATTTACGATTGCTGTTATTGGTGAAATGAGCTCTTACCGTGGCTTATTCAGATATTAACCATTTTAAGGTAGCTTGAGTCGGCTATCTGAATTTATAATCCGACCATAGAGTGAGTTTTAGCTAACTTGATACACAATGGCAGGATCACGGAGATCGGAAAAGTAGCTCAAACATCTGCGCAAAATTAACTATCACACTTTGAAAAAAACGGCCCGCAGTATTAATAGAGAAAAGTACCACCGAATCATTGTTTTAATGATCTCCGCCAAGTGATCTGCCCAGTTTTGTTGCAAAATGGTCTAACTATAGGTTAAGTTCGGGCGAGAGTGAATCAAACGACCGATTGACATTAGAATGGTTAAAACAAGTAAAAATAGGAGTAATTCGATGAAGTATTTTTGGTAGCCCAAAATGTAACCAGGTCGCCAAGAAAAAGAGGAGGAGTGGCAGTTCTAACTGCACCTACGCTATAGGTAGATGATTGCAATATGACCTACTTGAGTCTAGGGTTGAGTGGCAGAGAAAATACGCCAGGTTGCGCAACGGTAATCGCATTACCAGTAGTTGATGGTGCCTAGAAATAGGTTTTGATCTACGCTTAGCTAAAGAAGGCCTTTCTTACCAACAGAAATATGACCGACTATGTCCTAATCGGCCACCAAAACGGTCATCGCCTGAGCCTAGACGCTTGATATGGTCATTCAAGTCAGTAGCTAGCACTAAGATGTATGCTGAGGGCACCTAATAGAGAAGTTCACCAGGTTGATGGTAGAACTTATCCTTAACTGCATCCAAGATGTAGTCAGGGCATATTCTGAGGTGACGAAGAGATTTTGTTTCCTTAGCAGCACACAGACGACTTTGGATGGGGATCCAGTTGACCAGTACTGCTCCTGGTTTGGCACTTAATGCCAAACCAATGACAGCAAAGTCACCTATTGATGCTACTAGGTCTGCGGATAAATGAACTGTGAGCGAACCTACACAAAAGTTATTCGTATAACTTCACTGGGATCTTGAATGCAGGTCTCTTAAATACAACACATATCCATAACTAGGATTCCCGGAGTTCTAGCCATATCTATCTGTTGTATGATCTAAGTCAAGTTGTGGACGTTGAAGGTACCCAGCTAACTGGAGTCTGTGGTTCCAGAATAGTTGTATCAGATACTGAACTGAAGGACAGGTTTTTGGGAGGAACTGATTGGTGACTGGAAACTATGAAGCATCGGATCATTGGTTTATGGAGAGGATTTTCAACTATTTGATCTCGGGTTCGAATCCCATTGCACCTACCGAGGTTTGGGGAGCCAGATAGTATCATCACATTATAGGTCTGGTCCATTGTCTACCACACAAATTTTCACCTGGTGACTGAGTGCATTCTGATTCTATACTTCTTATTCTGTATTCTTTTGTCTAACAGTTACCATACTCACTTTTATTTTTATTGTAATCAGCAATGAACAGCACTAAGCACAATGAGTAAGTGATTTATCTGAAACCTAACCTTCCAGAAAGGTTTGTTGAAAGCTCTGCCGAATAACTGTCATTGGCAGGGTATACCAATAATCTTACTATCATATCTACTGTCCCGTACCCGATAACACACAATAGATTTTGAATGTTTACAAATTTGTCGCTAGCTTCCGTTGTCCTGCATTTCGACAGAAATCCTTGGATAAATCTGTTTACTATGACCACAGATCTATGTGTTCTAGGTCATAGTGATTGTGAGCTCAATGTTGAACGGGCATGTGCATGTGAATTTAAAAAATTAGTACTAATACATCATAAAGGATTATATAGCGAAATTCGCATGAATCTGTTGGTTAAACAGGATTTATTCAAGTTGGTATTCGTTACGGAGTGACATCAGTTGAAGAACCATTGAATACCTGGTAACACTATACAAAAGTAGGAAAGTGCGAAGCATTGGATCCCGACTCAATAGTAACGTACTCGCCATGGAGGCTGGAAGTCCTAGGTTCGATCCCTGGTAGGGTGATGGGTGCGCACTGCTGAGGAGTTCCATACTGGAACGAAACAGCTGTCCAGTGTTCTTAGGTTTCCAATAGTCCATCCTGCAAATGATATCAGTCCATGATAAATACCAACTCAAAGTCGATAAATCCATACAAACCTCCAGATAGAATTAATCTTATGCTCATCAGTGACTAGCTTCGAGAGGTGCTTTCCGAAGTTCCAATGAGAAGTCGTGACCAGTGGAGCCAACCAAGTCGAACATGAGGACAGTTACTCAGTGACGGCATTGTGTGGAGGTCACACTATACCGGGAACTGACAGAAGTAGGAAACATGGAGCATTCCGTTCCGACCTGTCAGCTCAATGGTAACGTGCCGGTCATGGGACCTGAAGGTTCTGGGTTCGACCATTGGCGGGGCCACGAATGCGCACTGCTGAGGAGTCCAGTGTTCCCAGACTTTTCAGTGTTTCTCCAGCTGGTGTCAGACCTTGATAATTACCAAATTGGAAGCAATCAATCCGAATAAACTTTTCAAACAGAATTTATTCAGTTATAAGAATCGAACATGATTAGCGTTGAACTGTAACCACTGTTTTGTTAAGCTTCAATAGGTTATCCACCCGGTTATATTTTTTTACATTTATTCACCAAAATGAGTTTATGAGTCATTCCTTACTACTTATATGCTGACAAGGAATGCTTTGTTTTGCATTTATCTTTATTCGCTTTAGATTATTCAAGCAATTCACGTACTTCGATTTCATTTACTGGAAATTGAAAAGGTAAGTATGAATAACTGTGTAAACCAGTAGATTTTTAAATATATACCTAATCAAAATTGCACTCAGAAATGATAAACACATGACTGCGATTTGGTTAAAATAGAAGTTTTACAAGAGGAAAGTTAGAACATTTTTCTAAACAAAATTTAGAATATATGGTAGTCTTGTAGTGAACACGTGATTATTGATTCATCGCTCATAACTCAGACTATCTTTATCCTTCAGCTGCTGATGACTGTTGAAATGTAGGTAAAATAGCAGTGCAATAACATATAGTTTACAATGATTCTTCAGTTTACGGTATATTTTCAAAACCAGTCTTCAAATCGCTGGACGAAATCAAATACTGCTAAGGAACTCTAACTTTTCTTTCCCGTCAGCAAACGATTACATTGACTGTAAGACCTAGCTTCTCAGAAATGCTTAATGCCCAGTTTACGGCTGTCTAATACTATCCAGAAAGTGGTAGTTTGAGAACGTTATACATACTGTAGCCTAATCTCTCTTCAAACTTATGCTTTTCTGGCTAGCATTTAGGAAATCAGAGAGACTAAGGCAAAAGGCTATCAGAACGTTCAAAAGTCATGTAGAAAAAGTCTTCATCAGTAGCTAGACACACTCACCAAACCTGATTGAAAATAGGCAGTGATAAAGGATACGTCCTATCAACTTACTGAATATCTTAGAAGTACATGGCCCTAAATTTATCCAAAGTGAAAGTAAGCACCTTCATGCTTCGTGAAAATGGATCCGAATTCAAAATTGATCAGTTTCAGATTTGACGCTATTTCCTGAAAAACAAGCTGTTTGATGCATCCAAACCTACACACTTTATAATCTCCGACCACGATTTGAAAATCCTACAGAAAAAGTGTTGCGAAGAACAATTCAGTAGTAGCAGTAGTGGTAGTCATAGTAGTAGTAGTATTAGTAGTGGTAGTAGTAGTAGTATTAGTAGTATTAGTAGTGGTATTAGGAAGCAAACTTTAACGTGCATAGTAAATCCATCACTTTTCCACTGGGATATCAACATAAGTAATCACTTACTACTCCGGTTTACTGTTCTGAGCATCCTTTCCTAAACCAATTATATTGTGAGTGATGCATCAGTGTTTAGTCTTGACGAACACGTTTTCCGCACCCAGAAATAACCCTTCCGTTGGTGAAAATCCATCTTTGAGGGAGATCCGGAAGTATGCATAAAATGGCATCCAGTTGAGGTTCTTTTTGTCTTACACTTTTTCGCTAATCGACCAGTCATATGAGGAGGGAAATGCTGATTCAAACATTCTTTGTTTGGAATTTGTATGACGTTGTATCACTAAAGCACTCGAACTGAGGGGATCCAGCAAAAGTAGCAGCACTTGCAGTCACAGTTCTTCTTTACTTTCCTGAATACAAAAAAAACGGTGTTATTCAAGTTCAGTACGTGAACTTAAAATGAACACCTCGCATATCATAACATCAATAAAACTAAGCTACACTAGTTAGACTGAAAGTGAATTTCATTTCCACTCATCTGAATATGAATATCAAAATCTCTATGTGATTCATAAATGATATCATGACCTTCAATAGATTACCATAAATGTAACCATGTACTAACTTAATACATTATTCATCATAACATCACTAGTAATAACACCAGTGAATTGTCATTCTAACTGGTTAATCTATCTCTGAAGACGTAAAGCCCTATAGCCACACACACGCACACGCAGATGCATATAAGAAGTACACAGATTAACTATTCCAACTAACAATTTGGCAACTTGAACTTACAGGAGTTCGTCTTTATTTTACTAGCTGGTAAAACATATCAAGTTTGGTATCATTCTATCTTTCTAACCTCTTATTATCATATTTATATCGTTTACATTATTTTATATTACTACTACTATCATCTTTAGCGTAGCCATTCGTGGTTTATCTCAACTTTCTGTTGCTTGTCTTCCTGTTTTCTTCGTCTCCTCTATCCTACCATCTTATTACTGTATGCTTTTCGCTTTTCTCTTTCCCGTTTTTTGTTTTTATGCTTCTTTCTCAACTTAAGATGCTCTCTTATTTAACGCCCTCCCAATACACTTTGTCTCTCTTTTGCCCACCAACTTTCTCTTTCCTACCCCTACAGCTTCTTAATAAATTGGACTATGAAAAAGGCAAAATAAAAACAAAAAGCATAGGATTTGTATTGAATGATTGAACGAATGAATGAATAATAAATGATTAATCTCTTTTGACATTTTCTTTTCAATAATCTAGAAGTGAAATAATTTATATCAGGTAGGAATCAGACTATATATAAATACAAAAAATGGTGTTCTACTTGATGTTTATCTGTTTGTATGTACACGTTTAGCCATCATTGTTAATCCTCATTCAACTGTACCAATTATCATCAATTCATATCATTGACAGTTTTATACAATTTGAAAGATGACGGATATTATTAATACTTTGGTAGTTGATCGTGAATAATTAAATAGGAAATCGATTTTATTAGAGGAGCGAAAAAAGAGAGAAGAGGAACGGTTGAGAAAAAGTGAAAAAATCTATGCATCACAATACCTAGTCTACCGTAAAAACATTATCTGAGTGTTTTTTTTAGTGTTAGCTGCTGGATACAGGGTTATCGGTTGATCGATGATATGAATAAGATGGGTCAAGGATGTGCATTTTCGTAAATTGAGGCAAACCAGCTAGCTAGTACCATATGGTCTCAAATACTTCCAGTCAAGACGTTCACCAAAGCATGTTGGAATAGATGGAATGTGTTTCTAACAGTTTCCACCAATCAATAATGACTTTTCTAGACATTGTAATAGGTAAACAGACAAATAAAAGATATTTGACATTTCAGAGTATTTACCACAGATTGACATAAGCAAGGGGACCATTGAAATCCTAGTTACTAACTTCAACAATGCTCTCCCACCGCTTCATATGGAATCGATCTTAAGACAATCAGGTCACATGGAAAACGCCATGATTTGGCGATTGATTAGGGACCCGGTTGTTCGTATTTTGCGGTTGCTATCGATTTGTGGTTTACTACAATCATCATCTTGTCTCATCGGTTATTAAACGTCCTGAGGTAATTCAGACGTGTCAGGTATGATTTAATTTTCTAGAATCGGCCTTGCCTAAAATCTGAACATATTCATACTCTAAAAGAAAAAATACCAACATGTATACTTATAAGATGGGAACGAATTTGAAACACTGAAATAAGACTATTCACTAAATTGTATACGATAATGATTCTACGTAATGCTAAGAACATGAACTTCGCAAGGAATATGTCTAAAGGCAAATTACTGTTCTCATATCATTACGTGAAACTCAACATGCTGACTGGTATAAAAGTTTGATGATAAACACCATGAAAATTGAACTCTTAAGAATTGCTGTCATGGTATGTTTTACCTAGCTATGAAATTCATCATTTTTATACCTTGTTTTTAGAAGGCATATTTACTCAGGAGAAATATATAAAACCTTAGTTTTAAAATACCTCGTTGTGAAAATTAGTAAACTACATGTATATTATACTCTCACCATCTAAATTTCTTTTGAAAGCATGGTTTTCCGTAAAATCAGTATTAGTTTAGTGAGTCCTTGGTCAGATAGTTCATAGTAAATAGAACACGCCGCTTTTTATCTGGTGTGATACTGTGGGGGGCAATTTTTCACGAGAGGTAAATAGCTAAGAAATACCTTAAAATGGTGTCTTTATATAAGATGGTTTCTGCATCTAAAAACTTAGCAGTGTTAGGTCAACTGAAAAAAGCATATACTTGTCAGATTACTGTAACTAGGTGAAGACGATCTGCCCAGACGTCTGCATAGTTTGACAATAATAGGATGTTGAGCACCTCTTTTATGTACTGTATGATATCTACCAGACAATACTCACTTCCTTTTCCTCCTGGGGTTGGAATCAAGACAGGAGATATTAAGCATAACAGTAACCTAAATCTATGTGGTATACCAGAACTTATCATTCGATGATTCACTTCCACCTATCATAAAAACAGTCTGACAGTAGAAGTCACTATATCTTAATAGAGTGTGACAGCTGTTTGGACGAAAAATTTCCATATGAACATAAATGGACAAACCTGGAAGCGATAAAAAGGTTCCTTATCACTTTTGGAATCCCAATAGACTTTCGTCTGTTATTAGTCTTGAATTATCCCAGAAATCTCCAACTTATTTAAGGTAAAACTTCAAAAATACTATTATTTCTCACACATAAGAATGTAAGGAGTTTCCGTGAACATCCACGCAATAATTCAGTTACATTTTCGCAAGACATACAGAATCCCTCATTTTTTGCTCTTCGCACGCATATTATTGGCTGGATAAATAAATATTCACTTTTCTAAGAATAATACGCTTGTCTTCTTGATCTCTTCTATCGAGTAAAATAAATTGCGTCATAAAGAATAGCTTTCTTTCAGCTGAGCCATACGTATATGCGTGCATAGTTTATCGGAAATCGGAATTGAAGTGACTGTGGTTAAGATGATTCCTATCAATACTATTATTCAGATATTGGTTTGTGGATTAGATAGAATTTCACCTTCATAATAACAGCTGCCTTAATTCAACATGTCGCTGAACTCCTATGCTATTGTGTATACATATATGCATTATCGGGCCGTTTTATTGTGTATCTTAACACGCCAAAAATACACGATGACAGCACCCGTTGTGGTGTGTGTGTGTGTGTGTTTACTTCAAACACAACTGGGTTTATTCACTCTTTTCAATATACACAATATGACAGTTTGACAGGTTTTCAGGGAAATGAACAACAACTGAGATAGGCAAAAAAGAAAAAAAGTGATAATGGCTATTATCATTTATGTAGTGAGGGTGCAGTAAGTGCAGAGGAATTCACGAACAAGCGAGTAAGCAACTAACAGAAAAACGAAACAGCCAGCTAAACCATGAGATAAGTCCACAAGGTTTGGCATATTATTTAAAATAAATAC